CGACGGGTTGGTGTTGGGGTTGATGACGCGCGCGAGGGTGCTGGCTTGCCGGGATAGCGTGGCGGAGAGCGTGGATGCGAGGGCTGGGAAGAGGGTCTCCAGGTCGGAGAACGGTGGGCGGGAAAGCAGGAGGGCGAGGGAGGAGGGGGGCATGGTCCCGGCGTTGGAGAGGAATGGGGGTAAGAGGAGGAGCAGGTCGATGATCTCTGGAGGGGGTGCTGAGGAAGAAGAAACTCTTTGCGACTGGGTGCGAACATGATGTGACCTGGTTCCCCTGTGTGCCTGCTGTGCCTGCTGCTGCTCCGCCTGCTTAGATGCCGTACTGGTTGGTTCTGGTGAAGCCGCCGACGTTATGGCGCCCAGGAGGAGGCTCTGTTTTGCGGCTCTAAGGCGATATGACTTGAGTTCCTAGATGCGTAGAATGGTTAGCTGGCTATAAGGCCCATGGTTGTCACCACATATAGATACGGCTTACATCGCGTACGGCATCGCGCTTCTTAGCCGCCGGATCGTTGCTCTTGGTAGACCCGTCGGCGTTAAGAAGAGAGCCGGTGACGTGCTTGCAAAGCCGCTCGAAGTCGGGATTGTTCTTGAGTACAGCTTCATCTATGGGCGGCAACATGGTAGCAAGCCTTATATGAGTGCGATTCCTTTTATGTAACCGGTAGAGGCTTGTACCAAGGCGAGCGTCAAATAGTCAAGGTTGAAATCCCGTGACTCTTGATCGCGAACGTGGAGCGACGTCACATGATGGTATTGAAGTCAAGATACACAATAATTGCATTTGCTTTCCTTCCGCTGTTAAAGTAGCTTCTATGCATATAATGAGTGTATGCATCATCCGACAGAATTCCGCTGCACATCGATAAGAAATCTTCAATTGCATTCTCGAAGCTCAGATATATCGAGCAGCGCAGTTCGAAATTGCGTCTTCTTACCCAATCGATCGCCCATGTCGCCGTTATAAACAGCCACTACGAGATACCCGAAATAAATAGCCATCTTTCAAGATGCCGCCGACTCGACTCGCGGCCGCCTCGTCGCGGCGCTGCGTATTCTCTACCGCCTTCGCTCCCACATACGCCTCGTCCCAAGCCCCGATACGCAGCGCCTCCCGCAGCCTGAGCACGACGGCCGCCCCGCAGCGGCAGAAGCCCTCGTACCTGACGGTGCCGCAGGACCAGGTGCCCGAGTACCCGTACGGGCCCTTCCGCACGTACAAGCAGGCCAACCAGAGCCTGTACGGGCGCGCCAAGGTGCGCTTCGGCAACGTCGTGGCCGAGGACCACGGCAACAAGTCGCGCACCAAGTGGTACCCGAACCGCCACACCAAGCGCCTGTGGTCGCCCGCCCTCAACGGCTTCATACGCACCCGCCTGACCGCCCGCGTCCTGCGCACCATCGACCTGCTCGGCGGCATCGACGAGTACCTGCTCGGCACCAAGGCCCGCCGCATCAAGGACCTCGGCCCCGCCGGCTGGGCCCTGCGCTGGAAGATCATCCAGACCCCCGCCATCCAGGAGCGCTTTGCCAGGGAGCGCGCCGCCCTCGGTCTGCCCCCGAAGGAGGAAGGGAGTGCGCTTCCCCAGGAGCTGGCCGCCGACGCCGTGACCTCTGACGCCATGCTGAGCGAGGTCGACGGCATGCTGGAGCGTGGCGACGAGTTTGTCATTGGCGAAGTCGGGGAGAGTGAAGGCGCGGTGCTTAAGGGAGATGCGGAGGAGGCGGGGGAGGCTAAGGACGATTCCAGGACTATCGAGGTTCCCCTGGACGAAGCAGTAAAGTCTACAGAGGATGCCAAGACGCCGAGGCCGTGACATGGTCTGGCTTCAAACCTGACCGTCACGAGGCTGCGTTGAGGACACGGGTATCACGAGACGGAAAAGAGCCGTAGAAAAGCGTGGTAAAGCAGCGTGTAACTCGACTGTACAAAACGGAACGCATGTAGATGCCATTTCAATGCCATTGTGTATCATACATCAGTTTTACTTCTTTTTGTCCCCTTACGCCAAGCCAACTCCGAATCCGAGGCCGTCCCGCCAGTCTAGAAACGCAAATCCCAGCCGATCTGAGGGCCTAGCTTAGGCAGCTCGTCGGCAACGCTCTGCACGTCCTTGTCTCCTCTGCCGCTGAGGCAGATGACAACGTCCTCGTCCTTCTTCATCGTCTTAGCCAGCTCGACGGCCCCGTAGATAGCGTGGGCAGTTTCGAGCGCGGGAATGATACCCTCTAGCTGACTGATGAGTCGGAAACCCACGAAGGCCTCGGCATCGGTGGCCGCGATGAACTTGGCCCGCTCCGAGTCCTTCCAAGAGGACAGCTCAGGACCGACGCCCGGGTAGTCGAGTCCGGCCGAGACCGAGTGCGTGTCCGAGATCTGCCCGTGCTCATTCTGTAGCACGTACGTCCTCACGCCGTGCAACACACCCTTGGTACCGCCTGTCAGAGTAGCCGAGTGCCGGTTCGTATTGACACCGTCGCCGGCAGCTTCAACGCCAAGCAACTTGACGCTGGGGTCGTTAGAAAAGGGGTAGAACATGCCAGTGGCGTTGCTGCCCCCGCCGACGCAAGCGACGACGGCATCGGGTAGCTTGCCCCGTTTCTCTTGCATCTGAGCCTTCGTCTCGTTGCCGATGACAGACTGGAAGGTTCTGACGATGGTCGGGAAGGGATGAGGGCCGATGGCAGAACCGATGATGTAGTGCGTATCATCGAGGTGGACAACCCAGTAGCGAAGGGCTTCGTTGACGGCGTCACGCAGAGTCTTGCTACCAGCTTCGACCGCGATAACCTTGGCGCCAAGCAGACGCATCCGGAAGACGTTTAATGCTTGACGACGGACATCTTCCTACATAGCGAACATCGTTAATTCTATCATTTCTGGTGTAACACGGAAACATGAAAACTTACAGCACCCATGAAGACCGTACACTCCATACCGAACTTGGCGCAGACCGTAGCGGTTGCTACACCGTGCTGGCCGGCACCGGTCTCGGCAATGATTTTAGTCTTTCCTATCCGCTTCGCCAGCAGAAGCTGCCCAAGAGCATTGTTGATCTTGTGGGACCCGGTGTGATTCAAGTCTTCTCGCTTCAACCAGATGTTGGCGCCGCCGGCATGCTCCGTCAGACGTTCGGCGAGGTGCAGCTGACCGGGCCGGCCCATCCAGGGGTAGTATGATCTGTACTCTTCCCAGAACGAGGGGTCGTCCCTGATGGCGTTGAATCCCTCCTCGAGCTGGGATAAGCAGTCCATAAGGGATTCGGGCACGTACTGGCCACCAAACTCGCCGAACCGCTCTGGGATCTTGCCGTGCAGTGCGGCGAGCTGCGCAACCAGAGCAGCATCGTCATGCTCGGTGATGACACCGTTTACCGAGACGTCTTCGCCGCTCGGTTCCTTGGCAGCGCTGAGCGCTTCGACCACGCCAACTTCTCGCGTCGTCGCGTCTGAGTTTCGACCGCCGACGTAGGCGCAATACTCCTCGACCGCCTTGGCCCCCTTACCAGGTTCGGCCTCCTTGAGCGTGGTGACGATCTGCGAGCCTATGACGACGCCGTCTGCAATAGAGGCCACGGACTGGAAGTGTTCGTGTGTCGACACACCGAAACCAACAGCAGCCGGCTTGTTGCCGCTGTATTTCTTGACTCGCTCGAGCAGGTTCGGTAGATCAGCGTTGAGAGTACCTTGAGCGCCCGTCACGCCCATGCGGGAGACGACGTAGATAAAAGAGTCGGCGAGGGCGCACAGGATACGCATACGGGTGTCTGACGTGGCCGGCGCAATCAGAGGGACGTAGGACAGTTCACCCTTGCTGCAGAGCTTTCGGAAGGAGACGGCCTCTTCGGGTGGCAAATCGCATACAATGAAACCGTTGATGCCGGCCGTCTTGCAATCCCGTAGGAGTTCGTCCTCGCCGTAGCTAAGCAGGGGGTTGTAGTAGCCCATCAGCAGGACAGGGGTAGTGAGACCCTTGGATCGAGCGACGCGTACTATCTCTAACGTGGACTTGATGGTGACGCCGTTGGCGAGGGCGACAGTATTGGCAGTCTGGATAGTCGGGCCGTCGGCTATCGGGTCAGTGAAGGGTACACCGAGCTCGATGACATCTAAACATGGTTAGTTGACATTGTCGGCGCATATATCGACGAGGTCTAGCGCAAGAAGGACCATTTGCCACAACGTACCAGCGCCACCCTTTTGCATTCCCAACATGATATCGGGGGCATCCTCGGGTCTAGGATAACCAGCCGTGACATAGGTTACCAAGGCAGCCTGAAAGAGACGGTCAGTCAAGAGTCAACGGTCTTAACACAACTTAGATCACGCATTGGACCATCGCATTAAGCTGGAGCTGGAGCTGGAGCTGTAGCCGTAGTGGTATGGAAGGATATAGGAGGAGACATACCCGTTTCTCTGCCTTGCAGCGCTTGAATGTCTGCTTGAGAGCCTCCATGGTGCCTGGGTATCTCGGTGTCTCTTTCGTGGGACGTCAGGTGCAATTGACAGGTGGGATAGTCAATTGATGGTTACGACAGAGAAGCAAGTTGATTCTTTATGGGAACATTGAACTGGCCTCTGAGTCAACAAGCAGCGACAGATACACCGGTACCTCTGGCTATTTTTTTTTTTTTTTTCGATGCGATAATCGGAGGGGTGGAGGGGCATAGAGGGGCATAAAGGGGACCAAGAGGGGCTCCGTTAACACATTATGCACACGATTCAATATAGTGAATTCACCCCTTCTGCCATTATCAGCTATGCCAAGTCGGCTATAATGTTCGAGGGAAGAAGTCTTGGATCGTTTAACGGCTATAACTAATATAGAAGAATAAATAAAAGAAAAGAGAAAATAGACATGGCCCATGTATAAAGGCTTCGGATTCCCACGGACTTGGTCTAGCAGTAGATCGGTGTCCACCTTTGACTCGCGTTTACTTACGTACGTATACTAATCTAACAGCTAATGAGATTTATCAGATAACAATCTGATGGTGAAGGGGCTCATGGCCTAATGGTAAGGCGTTAGATTTCGGTTCCCATTCCGGGTTCATCAGTTCTCTAAAGATTGCAGGTTCGATCCCTGCTGAGCTCGGGACAACATCTTTTTGCTTTTATCTCTACTTCATACACCTAGCTAAACCTCTCACTAAATATTCATTCACCCCCTATCAGTTTACGTATCCACTGGCGGGTATCGACGTAAAAAATCAGAAGGCGTGCAAAAAAAATCTCGGCCAATCAAGAATAACCTCTTAAGTGAATGAGGAAAGTTGGCAGAGATACATGTATCCAGCCGAGGTACGAGATACAAAGTACACCCAATCGTACTTTACATTAAGTAAGCCTGGCTGAATGACTTCTTTCCGTCGCAGCTCCATTGCCACCTCTCGAGTCCACCATTTTTCGCAATAAAATCAACCAGATGGTTGTCGACGAGGCTCAACTACCCATTCACCTATTATCGTTTTGAATACAAGAAGAATTAAGCAACTTACACCTCCCCAATGGCATCCCGCCTATCCCGCCTCACCTCCCTCGCCCGCCATGCCCGTCCCCTCGTCCCCTCGCAGCACCACGCAGCAGCAGTGAGCGTGCGCCACGCCTCGAACTCGCCCAGCCCCTTCCAGTCGATGCCGTCGCCTCCGCGCCTCCCCGCCGACGAGCAGGCCGAGTTCGAGCGGCTGCAGCGCACGGCGAACACCCAGCAGGGCTTCAACCCGACGTCCACCCCCGACTTCGCGTCGCCCGCGGCCGGCAGCTCCTCGGCGGCCGTCGAGGAGGGCGGCGAGCTCGCCCCGACGCCGCTGCGCAAGGGCGCCCCGCCCGAGTTCGAGGGCGAGGTCAACCCCAAGACGGGCGAGGTCGGTGGGCCCAAGAACGAGCCCCTCCGCTGGGGCGCGGCCGGCGATTACAGCTTTAACGGACGGGTTACCGATTTTTGAGACGGCGCCGTCCCGGAATTATAAGATATTCTTTCGATCATGGATAAATCTAGGGACGATGAACGCCTGGGTCTGACTTATCTCCGTCACCTTGGAAGGTGCACCTATAACTCCCATTCGAATCCATCCCTCGCTTCCCTGATGAGAGCTCTGGTTTAGTCACGCACGAAGAACTCGAGACATCTTAGGCAAGCAGCTTAAAGAATGGCACGAATAACGAATCCTATTATTAGGAGGAACATCCTCCACCGGTAACCCATGACAGTCCACGCCAGGTCGGCTGATATTAGCCACCTGTTGTTGCTATAACGCATCTTACACGGACAAGGTATAACTAGAATTGGCAGACTTGTTATTCCTCCGTGCCACATGGCCATACATATCTCTGGCGATATTATAAATCTCTAGCCGACCTGTATTATACACTCACAAGGAAGAAAGAAGCCTACATGAGATATATTTGTAGCACACACCTCATATACCGCATCGAATCATGAGGCGAAGTAATTCAGTAAATTCATTCGACAAAAAATGCCACGCGTTGTCTAGCTAGAAACTCCTCGCTATGCTATACTTGGTAACCCGACAAAGACTTGATAGAGGTATCTTGGGTAGCCCGTGACAGAGGAGAGTAGAGAAATTCAGACAATAGAGACTCGAATCCTCCAGCCAGCACAAGTATCTTGTTCCATCTCCAGCTTCAAACATCGCGGCATACCAGGTAGCCTAATGACAACCACGGCATTAACGTGTCTTCTCTTGCCCCCTTTCCTCCTCTCATACCAATGGGTTTTGGTATTGTTTCTTTACTCAGAAACGCCTGTGGACGCGGATTTCTCTAGTTCGTTGGTATCATTTACGGTAACCTCAGCTACCGTCTTTGCGTTCTGAGCGTCTACCGAACCGCTCTTTTCCTTCGCCTTCTCGTCCAGATTCCCATTCTTGTCGACGTGGCCCGTTTCTTGGTCAGACGAGTGGGCGACGTCGTTCGAGACAGCGGTAAAGGCAGGGCGATTCTCCTTGTTATCGTATCCATTCTTGTCCTTGCCATCCGGCACCGTCTTTCCGTTCGCCGTCTTCTCTCTGATGATACCGGCGTCTCTAGCTACCGTGGCGTTGTTCGAGATTTCCTTACCGCCCATATCGATCACCTCGCTTCGGTTGACTTGGCTCATTGCTCTCCGAATGCGCTCCCTTCGTGCCTTGCCTCGGAGTCTGCACTGGGGCGCGGCACCGTCTACCCACCGCACGCTCGTGATCATGAAGCTGATGCCGTCGTGTATCGATTTGTGTCCTTTGCACACCCCCCCGAATTCGCGACTTTGTATGCCGAAGCGGGTCGAGCTGCTGTACTTTTCGAGCAACGGTAGAATTAAGAGCGTCACGTGTAGGTCGCGGTCCGCTGGTACGTGAACGGGGCCCGAGGCCGGCGGCGAGGTCAGCACCTCGAGATGCTGTTCGGCGGGTACGTTGCGCTGTTTCTTCGACGTAGAAGGCTTGTATAGCCCGAGCAGATCTACGTCGACGTCGTCGCTCCATTCCCCTCGAATCCAGCCCGCGTGGATACATGCGGCGACGACGTCTGAGTCGTCCGTGTAGACGTCGGTACCCCACACTGCCCGACGAGAAGTGATCTCCTCGCGAGCAGCCGGGGTCAAGTTTATGCGTGGAATCTTCATGGTCAAGGTCGAGTTCTCGTTTCCTTTGATCATGTCCATCGGGAGCGGTATCGGGTTTGACGTGAAGCCGAACTTCGAAGGCGACCTAACCTTGCAAGGTTTCAGCTGCACTTGGTATACGACATCGCCCAGATGCTTACGCGGTCGGTCCGCTACGCTGTCGAGGACCGCCTGTGACGAGACTGTCCGCGTCGGTTTCGCAACGACGGTAGACGCAGACGCTGCGACGGACCTGGGAGGTTGGTGGTGGTGAGTAAACGTGGCAAAGTCCTTGTCCGTGGGAGACTGCATAGGCGTTCCGGCCTTGACGGCTTTCGGCTGACCGTTGGCCGTCTGGAGGGGCTCGCCCGCTCCGTCCGGGCCGTGGTGATGATGGTGGTGGTGGTGACTACAGCAGACTACGATGAATACTGGCCGAAGTGTTCAGAAAACAGAGAAGCGTTACTTACTGGTGATGGTGGTGATGAGCGTGCGTCTTGGGACGCTTAGCCCGACCGACAGGCGTGATTCTGCCGGTGCTATCGTCGTCCCCTTTGCCGTCGTCGTCCTTGGCCTTCCTTCGCTTTCCCCTCGCGCCAGCCTTGACGGGGGCGTCTACGGGTAGCTCATGACCGGGATGCTCCTCGTCACCTCGTGCAGGGCCTGTGCTCGCGAATTGAGGCTGCATGCTGGGCGGCGCCGGACTAGAGACGCCAATGCCGCGGACTCCGCTTCCAATACCGGAGAACATGCGGCCGAATTCACTCTTGATCCCGGGCTCGCCCGCAGGGCCCTGTACTTGAGGCTGGGCGCCCTGGACCGCCTGCGGCAACGGAGATATCCTACCTTTGCGGTTGATCTCCTGGATGCCGAGAAAGCCTCGCGGGTGTCCGGCAGCATTCGGTCCCTCGTCTATAGCACGCGGTCGCCCGGCCTCAAATGCTGCCGAGCCAGGTCCGCCGTTATACGCAACGGACGGCGGAGGCGGACCCTCTTCGTGCGGTCGACCGCGGGGAACTGCCGGTTGCGGCGGCGGCGGCGGCTGCTGCTGGGGGTGCGTCTGGACGAACCGGTGCCTGCTAGGAGACTCGAAGGGATGCGAAGGTGCCGCAGGTTGCGAAGGTTGCGGGCCCGGTTGGCTCGCCGGCATCACGTGAGGCGGCGGCCCAGCACCGGGGAAACGCTCGTGGGGAGGCGGTTGCGCGTAGGCAGGGTGTGGCCCGTACGGTGCTGCAGTCGTCGACGGAAACTCGCCCGCACGTGAACCAAGATAGGGTGGGCCGAAGGCGTCTCTCGGCGGCGGCGGTTGGTCGTACCCGGGACGCTGCCAGGCCGCCGGGTCGCGCGGATCGCGAGGGTCAGGTCTTCCGTAAGGCTGTTGGCGTCCAAGAACTTGAGGTCCGAGGTCTGCGGGATGCTGGGCTTGCGGACGGCTCGGATCGGACGCAGTCCTCTCCCTTCTCGCCCTCTCCCTTTCCCTCTCGCGCATTTCCATCTCCCTGTCCATCTCTCTTTCTCGTTCTCTCTGCATCTCCATGTGCTGATGATCCCTTTCCCTCTCCCGCTCAATCCGTTCTCTCTCGGCCATAAAGCTGCGCTGCTCTTCGTAGTGGATCCTCTCCCTCTCTCTTCGTTCTCTTTCCCGCAGTTCCCTTTCCTGAAACTCCCTCTCTCTTTCTCGAAGCTCTACCTCGCGGAGCTCTTGCTCCGAGGCGAAACGACGTTGTTCGTCGTATGGCATGACCAGGGACGGTCGGTCCGGGTAGTCGGCCGGGCCTGGCGGTCGCACTTCTTCTCTCCTACCGTAGATTGGATCTCCGGGCGGCGGGCCTCTACCCATGTCGACAGATCTCGGGGGCATGCCGTGGTAAGATCTCGGCTGGCTGCTCGGTCTAGGCGGTACGCTGGCCGTAGACATGCGCCCCGGGGGTTCTCTCCTATCGTCCATCGGCGGACCTCGCGGGGGATACGCCTGCGGAGTGTTGAACCGCGACAGCTCGGGGGTTCCATACATGCCTTGGGGTGGGGAGCCAGCCGCGCTACCTCTGTGGTCTCTCGCGTCAAACGGTCTGCCTTGGTCGGGTGTTTGGGGCCTCCTGCTGTAGGGAGGATAGTCGTTTGCGCTCTGCATCCTGGGCGATGCATGGATGGGCGCAGCGTATGCAGGCCCTGAGACAGCAGAAGTAGTGGCGGGAGGCGGAAAAGAGGTGGCATGACCGGGCGTCGGCTCGCGAGGAGCAGGCGGGGGGCCACCCAGCATGGATGATATCGACATGCTTCCGCCCGTGCTACCGGTTCGAGGTATAGAATTCAGCGCGGGAAGTTCCCTGGACGAAGGGAAAGCGCTCGGAGGCCCGAGGTTTACGGGCGGAGGCGCTCTTGGGGCTGGCGGGCCAGCATAGTGACCGATCTGATGCGCAGGATGGGGGACCGGCGGTGGCTGCTGAGCTGGATGCTGAGGCGGCGAGGGAGGAGGCATATTTCGAGTCAGA